AACAGCAACAATAGCAGCCGCAACAACAACAGCAGCAGCAGCAGCAGCAGCAGCAGCAACTAGAAAGGTGTGGGGTCTTCTTTTTGTTGCAGGTGCTTCGTTGGAGAAGATAAAGGAGAGATTTAAACGAAGACGGTTTCTTAGACCTTCCAAACCCTAAATGCTGACCCTTAAACCCTAAACCCTAAACCCTAAACCCTAAACCCTAGAACCACAAACAGGATTCGAATTGAACAAGCGGGAGGCTACAGCCTGTCTCCCAGGTTTACTTCGATGGTGGTTTGCTCAAGATTTAGGGTTTAGGATTAGGGTTTAAGGTTGACGGTTTAGGGTTTAGGGGTGAAGCTTAGATGTAGTTGTTCTAAGGAGTTCTTTATTTAGAGTTTAGGGTTTAGGGTTTAGGGTTTAAGCTGCCCAGATGTATAGCCTGAGGACTTCAAAGGAGACAGAAGAATGCCTGCACACACCAGAAGAGAGTATATGCAATAGGATCGATCAATACAACTTATTAGGGTTTAGGGTTTAGGGTTTAGGGTTTTCAATGTATTATGCTTATAAACTTGTCTGATCTCCTATTTATCCTTCTATATATTCTTCTTACCTACGAATACCTTATTGTGATTAGGGTTTAGGGTTTAGGGTTTAGGGTTTAGGGTGAGCCCGGCCTCGTTGCTCGTAGGGGGGCCCCTGGGGGCCCCACTGAGCCGGGGTCCCTCTGCTGTTTTTTTTTCTTTTATTGTTTTATTTTGTTGTGTAGATATTTTCTGAATAATTTAATTTAAATATATTTAATTATTTAAACTCTTCTATTGTTAAAATAGAAACAGAGGCCCCACACCGCAACAGCAGACGAAGGGTCACTTCGCTCCCTGGGATCGTCGATCCACAGGGGATCTGCTGCTCCTGCTGCAGCTGCTGCTCCTGCTGTTGCAGCTGCTGCTCGTGGTGCTGCATCTGCTATACTTGCTGCTTCTACTGCTGCTGCTGCTGCAGCTGTTCCCATTGCTGCTCCTGTTGCAGCTACTGCTGTTCCTGCTGCTGCCACTGCTGCTCCTCTTGCATCTGTTGCAGTTCTTGCTGCAGTTGCTGCTACAGCTGCTCCACATTCTGCGGCAGCTGCTGCTACAGCTGGTCCAACTGCTGCTGCAGCTTCTGTTACTGCTGCTCCTGTTGCTGCTGCTCCTGCTGCAGCTTCTGTTCGTGCTACAGCTGCTGGTAGACTTGCTGCTTCTACTACGGCTCCTGCTGCTTTAGCTGCTCCAACTGCTGCTGCTGCTGCAGCAGTTTCTGATGCTGCTGTTGCATGCCTTTGCTGCCAGTACTGATCTCCGGTGCGGTGTGGGTCCTTACTGCACCATAATTTGAGGTGTACAGACACCTCAGCATGCATGCACTCATGCAGCAGCAGCACAGCAGCACAAAACTCACTTCTCTATGGGAAGCCTTCTGGGGCTCTACCCGATCTGTGGGGCCCTTCATACAAAGAGGTATATGGGGGGGCCCCCGGGGGGCCCCCCTCCCTCTTTATAGTTCCTCTATTAAGAAAGGTATTTTGCTTAGCAGTAGAGATGCATGCACAGAGAGCATCAGCCGCAGCAGCAGCAGCAGCAGCAACAGCAACAACAGCAGCAGGAACGGAGACTCCAGATGCTGCTCTACAAAAGAACTCAGCTTGCTGCTGCTGCAGGGGAGAAGAAAAGAAGCAAAAAGTAAAAGCAAAGAGATAGAGAGACACAAACAAAATTATAAGAAGACGCAAAGGAGACAGACAGAAAAGGAGACAGGTAATATATTACCTGGAGAAGCATATGGGTGGGGCTTCAGCAGAACCGGCGCTAAGCCCCTTCCCCTGCAGCAGCAGCAGCAGCAGCAGCAGCAGCAGCAACAGCAGCAGCAGCGCGACGGGCAAAGACACACTGTTGGGGATGCCGGACGCTGGAGGCATGCTGGAGGGAAGCTTGCAGCAGCAGCAGCTCCTGCAGCAGCAGGAGCAGCACCTGCTGCTGCTGCTGCTCCTTACAGAACAACAGACGTCCCTTGGGTGGTCGCTGCCCCTGCCTACCAGCAGCTCTGCGCGTTGAAAGGCAAGCTGAGGATCTAGGGTTTAGGGTTTAGGGTTTAGGGTTTGCAGGTTAGGTTTAAGGTGCGCTTTCAAGAAACAGCCGTCTCATCCATAATGTTTTGTTGAGGGTTTATGTAGGCTTTAGGGTTTAGGGTTTAGGGTTTAGGGTTTAGGGTTTAGGGTTTGGATGCAGAAGAGAATAGAAGGCATGCATTGCAAGCAAGGAGTTTGCTGCTGCTGGAGCAGAGCTGTCTTCCTAAAAGGCTGCAGCTGTACAGCCACCTTAAGAAAGTGTAAGGGTCCAAATTTAGGGTTTAGGATTTAGGGTTTAGGGTTTAGGATTTAGGGTTTAGGGTTTAGGGTTTAGCCGGAGGGACCCAAACAGGCTCTAAGCCAAAGAAAGTAGACCTGCTGCTGCTGCTGCTGCTGCTGCTTCTGTTGCTGCTGCTGCGCCTCATTCTGCGCTTGCTGCAGTCTCCTGTCCCCTTTCTGTTTTCTGTCTCCTTATCTGTCAATGTTGCCTGCCGCTGTTGTTGTTGCTGCTGCTGTTGTTGCTGCTGCTGTTGTTGTTGGTGTTGCTGTTGCTGCAGCAGCAGCAGCAGCAAGGGCAGCTGCAGCACGGTGGAAGGCAAACACAGCTGCCAGCTGACAGTCGCAGACTGCGCGTACACCGCAGCAAAGAGGGTTCTCCCGCTGGTGTAGGGCCTTCAAACCCTAAACCCTAAACCCTAAACCCTAAGCCCTAAATCCTAGAGATTCTCTGAAGCAAACAGGGGACAAGAGAGCCGCTACAACCCCGTGCTGCTACCACTCCACTCCCACTCTCGCTGCTGGTGCTGCTGCTTCTGTTGCTGCTGCTGCTGCTGCTTCTGCTTGTGTTGCTGCTGCTGCTGTTGCTGCTACTGCTGCTGCTGTTGCTGGTGCTGTCTAGAGGTGTTTCTAGCAACATGGAGAGCAGCAACAGCAGCAGCAGCCGTCAGTATCTCCAGAGCATTGCGGCAAGCCTTCACATTTTTGCTGCTGCTTCTGCTGCTGCTGCTGCTGCTGTTGCTGCTGCTGCTGCTGTTGCTGCTGGTGTCTGGTGGCAGGGAGGAGACAGGTGTCTCCGTTAGCTCAACTGCAACTTTGAAGACGCCTCCCTGTATGCAGCGAGCAGTAGACAGCAGGCTGCTCGCTGCAGCAGCAGCAGGTGCAACAGCAGCAGAAGCAGCAGCAGCAGCAGCAGCAGCAGCAGGAAGAAGCAGGAGATCAGCGGGGAAGGAGACAGAAAGGAGACAGTACTAT